AGTGTGAGTGTGTGAGTGAGAGTGTGTGAGAGTGTGTGAGAGTGTGTGTGAGTGCGCGTGTGAGTGCGCGTGTGTGAGTGTGTGTGTATATATATGTGTAATTGTTTACTGCGGATGATCTAACAATTGAATAAATGTTAGACAGAATATCACAAAGACATGAAGGAGGACTCCAGTAAACTAGGATGCTCAGTGATAATGTTTTCTTCCAGTTGGCTGTTAATCACTGCAACCAAATTCTTGAAACGATGAGTAATTAGTGAACAAATCATTGACTTTTTTTTTTGTTTTTTTTTGTAAACTGAACCAGCTGTCTAAAAAGAATGTTTGTTCACAAAATGTCCACATTGTTATTTCTCTCATGAATGGATCATAGTCCTATTCAGTGTGTAACAACTTTAATTATAGTCAAAGCTACAATACGGATTCAGATGAGAGATGTAGAGATGCACAGCTCATTAGAGACACATTTATGGTGCTTTTGTATTTTCCTTTCAGTTTTCTTTCATTGAAGTTTCATGGAAAAGAGCGCAGAGTACTGGTTTAGAATGATGACGGTCAATAACCGTAGTTATCTTAATTAAATGAATAGAGTTGTGTGTAATAATTGTAAATCTGGGTTAACGGTCACTTTCTTTCTTTTTTTTTACTCTAGGTTTACATTATCAAAGTGGCTTGGTCTGATGGCAGCACTGAGATCATTTTCAGGCGCTACAGTAAATTTTTCGACCTTCAGGTGAGTTTTGTACTCGTTCCAGTATAATATTGTGCTGATAAACATGTGAATCCAAATATTAGCATCCTTTAGGCTCAAAGGAGAACTGAACCAGCGTGGCTGTTCTTTGCCAATGAAACCTTGAAGAAGCAATGCCAACCCTGAGTTTGACGCCATGTGCAGAACTGAAAGCTTAGATCAGCATGGATTTCACCGACGGCCACAGAAACGCTGAAGTGTATGTGGCAGGTTTAGATGGGCTGTTTCAGTGCTGCGACAGGAAAAGTCATCAAACTGATGGCTCTGTAGAAACGTACTTAAGATATCTGACCAGACCAGTGCACTAGATAGATCAGTGGATCTCAACAGGTTTGGCCATTGGACCCACATTTTTAAGCCACAACCCAACATTTTTTTTTATGTTTATTTAGAACTTTGACCTAATTCCTACATTTTTATTTGAATTATATAACTAGATAAAAAGAAAAAAGTTTGATTTGACAAACTTTAGGTTGGCTTGAGAAAGCCTAGCCTGAAAGTTTAAAGCAGTTGTAAAAGCCTGAAGTTTGAACATTTAGTTAGATTAGATAGATGTTGATAACATGTTTCTAGCATGATTAGCATGTTTTTAACATGATTGGCCTGTTACTAGCATATTGCTGGCATGATTAGCATGTTGTTAGCATGATTAGCAAGTAACTAGCATGTTGCTAGCATGATTAGCAAATTATTAACATGTTGCTAGCATGATTAGCATTCTTCTAGCAAGTTGTTAACATGATTAACAAGTAACTAGCATGTTGCTAGCATGATTAGCAAGTAACTAGCATGTCGCTAGCATGACTAGCAAGTGACTAGCATGTCGCTTGCATGATTAGCAAGTTATTAGCATGTTGCTAGCATGATTAGCATGCTACTAGCATGTTGCTAGCATGATTAGCATGCTACTAGCATGTTTTTGCTAGCATGATTAGCATGCTACTAGCATGTTTTTGCTAGCATGATTAGCATGCTACTAGCATGTTTTTGCTAGCATGATTAGCATGCTACTAGCATGTTTTTGCTAGCATGATTAGCATGCTACTAGCATGTTTTTGCTAGCATGATTAGCATGCTACTAGCATGTTTTTGCTAGCATGATTAGCAAGTGACTAGCATGTTGCTAGCATGATTAGAAAGTTACTAGCATGTCGCTAGCATGTTTCTAGCATAATTAGCATGTTACTAGCATGATTAGCAAGTTACTAGCATGTTTCTAGCATGATTAGCATGTTATTAGCATTTTGCTGACTCTGTAGAAACGTACTTAAGATATCTGACCAGACCAGTGCACTAGATAGATCAGTGGATCTCAACCGGTTTGGCCATTGAACCCACATTTTTAAGCCACAACCCAACATTTTATTTTATTTATTTCTTTTTTAGAACTTTGACCTAATTCCTACATTTTTATTTGAATTATATAATAATTGTACATTTGCGTAAAAAAAAAACAAGCAAATTCATTTAGCAAAAAATTTTCGCCAAACACTCAAGTACCGTCCCACTTTACTTAACATACATATAAATTGTAGGAGTATGACACATACTGATGAATAATCAATATATAGGGCTATTAAATAGCAGTCACAAACTAGTTTGTTAATACAGTGAAGTTAGTAAGTTGGTATGAGCCACCACTTTTTTTTTATTTATTTTTTATTTTTTGGTACTTTTTGGTAATTTCACGACTTGCTATACTAATTCGCCGGGAATTTGATTGACAGGAGATCTGACCAATCATAACGCAGAATCTGCCATTTTTGTCTCACAAACCAATCAGACAGGAGAGTAGATTAAAGGGATAGTTCACCCAAAAATGAAAATTCTGTCATAATTTACTCACCCTCCAGTGGACTTGAACTTGAAAAATGTGTATTGACATCTTTCCGCAGTTCAAACAAGATACCGTCAGATGTTCGTTCATGTTTATTTCATGTTATAACTAGCAAAGAGGAAGAGCTGATTAGTTCATGTGCCACTTTAACTGAGGCGCTACAGCGGTCTGTCACGACACATTAAAGACACACAAAATGCTGTTTATTGTATGAATAATCGAAGAGTGTGCGCTGTGAGCACAATAAAACGGCTGACAGGACAGGAATGTTAGTTTTACTGAGGTGAGAGAGGCTTTTTATGTCATAAGTTAATAATGATGACACTGACAAATAGCCTGACTCATAACATCTCATCTGATACTGAATTGGAAGATATTGAATTTGTGTTTTAAACTGCATTTGACAGAAGTCTCATCTTCTGATGTGAGGCTTTTCAAAATAAAAGTCAGCATAGAATTGCATTTGTTGTTGTTGTTGTTGTTTCTTTGACTGCACACTCAAAATGGTCTCGCGATCCACTTTCTGCTCACGACCCAGCAGTTGAAGCAATGCCTCGGATAGGCAATATTTAATTGTCTGGTCTGTTTGCTTTGTCATATTAAGAAAAATGTATAAAACACAATAATATTGAAAAATGATAAAAAGAAAGCTTTGGCCTGTTGGTTGAAGTCTGCACTTTACAATATGGTTGTAACCTCCAGATTGCTTAGTCTGATGCTTCTTGACAGAAACTGTTTGGATGCATTGTCATCATAGTCACGATGACTGGGACTTTTCCTGTTTTGATCAGAGAAACTTCACGAGTTGCGCAACGACGTCCCATCCAGAATCACAATGTCCTAGAAATAACACTTGCTGAAAAGAACTCAGATTTTCTTCCTACACACGAGCACACTGGTCATTCATATTTTTATGTTTTGTATATAAGTTTTATCAAATTAAGTAAATAAAAAATAATACATCAGAATGGAACAGACTTCTGTTTTAGCTACATTTCTGCGTTCTATGTCTGTATTTCATTTCTTTAGCTTTATAGCAGCACAATCTGGCCTTCATAAATGTAACTTTGCAATGCATCAAATTAAACCTTTTAGTTTAACACGGCTTGCCAGAAATAAATCAGCCAATTCCTTTTCTGAATTATATTCATGGACTGTTAATGTAAAGCTTAGTGCAAGTAATTATACAAAAAGTGAATGTGTTGAAATGTCGTGCCCTAATTAACCCATATCATAGGATTTATTTCATTTGTCAATTAGTTGTCTTTTGAAATGACACTGAATTGACAAATATTGATTTATAAATGTGATTAATCATAAACGAGTTTGCATATTTAATCTATTGACGGTGATAATTAATATTAATAATATAAAAGTAAGATCACCAGTTCAACACTTGAAATAAATGACTCCCAGTTCAAAGCACTAAACTTCAAGGCTTGTCCAAGTTTATCTATAACTTCCTGTGTGACGACGGTGTTCAGTTGTGCTGAATCGTCCTCTCTATAGCAGCCAAAACCTTGCAAACAGTTTAGAACGGAAACCCACTATTAATAGATGCACTCAGCACAACTGAAGCTATTCACCAAATTTGTACAAATGGTCAGAAATCCCCGTGGTGAGCTCTGCCACAGCTTCCTGAAAATGTTACGGCAGCTTTTCTCTGCTGGGCAGTTCCACAGAAATGTGAACCATATGGAAAAATACAACCTCGTCAAATAGTGAACTCATAGGTCTATAAATGTTTTCTATAATGGATTTCTAAGAAAAATAGGTTTATATATTGTATATATTTTTTAATATAATATTTTTTTTGTTATAATATCATAATATATTTAGCACAAGAGGTGTGCATCAGTATTAATTAAAACAACATTTACCTCGTTTGTCATTTATATATGTATATATATATATATATATATATA